TGATTATTTAAAAAAAAGAAAAGAAGCTTAGGGGAAAAAGAGAGAGGGGGGACCAAGGTAGTCTTTAAGTTTCCCAACTGGAGTCCATACATGAGATTATGTGTATGCTTCAGAGCCTGGGGGTCTCACTGGTCACTTCGTGCTGCAAGCAGCCTCAACAGGTTGACCCAGTGTACCTCAGTCCATCCCAGCATCATACAAATGCCTTCTTGTGTGTGTGTGTGTGTCATGAAGTGAAAACGTGAGGAAGCACTGGTCTGTAGCAATGCCCTGTTTAAAGATCTTTTTTTTAAAGATGTATTTTTTATTTGTGAGGAAGAAGAGGAAGAGGCAGGGGAAGAGGGAGAAATAGAGAAGCAAACTCCCCACTGAGTGTGGAGCCCACAACCCTGAGATCATGACCTGAGCTAAAATCCAGTCGGACGCTCAACCAACCAAGCCACCCAGGTGACCCAAGATCATCTTTATTTCTAGTAATTTCTGTATACAAATTAATGTTTTAAGACCCTGGGACGCCTGGTTGGCTCACAGAGCCCGCGACTCTTGATCTTGGGGTTGCGAGTTCAAACCTTATGTTGTGGATAGAGTTTACTGAAATAAGGGGGCATTCGGGGCACCTAGGTGGCTCAGGTCATGACCGAGGATCTGGGATCCAGCTCCACATCTGGCTACCTGCTCAGCCGGGAGTCTGCCTCTCCCTCTGCCTCTCCTCCTGCTCATGCTCTCTCTCCCCCAAATAAATAAATAAATAATAGAGGGGGCATTAAAAATAATTTAAAATGTTTAAAAATTAAAAGGTTGCAAACCTAATACATAATACAGCAGTGGTTCTTCTTGGGGGGATCATCCTCCCTCAAGAATCTGGAGAAGCCAAAGCCTTTCTCCCCAGAATGCACTTCCACTCATATTTTGCGTATTGCTTCAGAGGGTCAGAGAATCCAGATTAAGTGCCTGTACTGGAAGGACTATCAGACAAACCCAAATTTACTAATTTTAGAGGGGTTCATCTCCTTCTCTCTCCCACTTTGCCCAGTACAGCTTCAACAGACCAGAGACCTGTCAAAGAAACCTCTGAAAAAGCATTACACCGAACTTCCTTGAAATTTCCCAGGGAGCATGCAGAGACTACTATTTGGAAACTCCAAGGAGCATCCCTGAGAAATGTCCCGGCTGCTCAGGAAGGACATGCTAATCGCTGGCTCCAGGCACCACCTATCCCTGCAGTACAAACTTCGGGGAACCACTTGCAGGCACAGAATAGCTCCCTCCACACCTCCCCTTGGGTTTAGATGCATTTTTGGCTGGTGTTTCTACTAGAAATCCCATGTAATCACCTTGTAGTCTTCCTTTCTCCACTGCAAGCATATGATCTCATTCGTGTGTATTAATCACATCACAGTTGCCACTAATCAAGGCAAGACTGTACAAATAGGGAAGGGGGGGGAAGGAACATTTACATCAATTAATTTTAGCAGCATCTTTATTGCAACAAAGAACCTGTAATAAAATGAAACAAAACTAATGTTTCACTTTACATGATTAAAAGCCATGTAGCTGAAAATGAGAAAACCCATAAACTTACTGGAGTGAGACATGCAATTCTTTTTATACAAGTCAATGCTTAAAACAGCAGGCACTTTATGTTCTAAAATTAAAGACCTGAACTCCAATTGTGCTGAACACAACATAAATTTGTATTTGGGTTATTCAAAAATAAACATACAAATAGTACTTTTTCTCTCTGTGAGGGACTTCTGAAAGTCCCTTCTGATTACCTAGAACTGTCTCTTGATAAAATAAGAAAAGCAGGAGCCAGCACCTAACACTAACATGTCTCTATATTGTAGGCTGCAAGGTGGATAGGTGAGCCTGGGTAGGGTTGGGAAAGTGCGAGTCAGGGAAGTTTCCTTATTAATTTATGTCTGCTGGGAATGGGCACTCACCTCTCTTAGTTTAGATATGGCCATGTCTCTTTTCTTACTTCAAATAGCTCTAAGTTAGGCTCCCAGGCTTAAGCAAGCACTCTATTCTATATCCCAATTCCCAAATCCCCCACTACTAGGAAGACACATTTAGGGTTAACAGTTTTAATTAACTTCAGAATGTCATATACTAATTAGAAGTACTGCTTCATTAATAAGCATGCTTAGCATTTACTTTAGAATGGAAAAATTAACCATTTTATGTTATCTTTAAAATGTTTCATAGGAATATATTAATAAATACTTATTTAAAAATTTGCCTTTTCTACATATCATTTAAACTACCATGATGGAGTCTAGTACCAACAGAACACTAACTGGCTGCATGGCCATGGGTATATTTTCTCCTCTCTCTACATGTAGCTTCCTCCTCTAACCAATGAGAACATTAGACTATATCAAAGATATAACAGCTTGAAAAATTTATGATTCTACAAGAGTGAGAGATCTTATAGGAGTCATTCCACCTAAAGAGAGAATTATGTTACAGACAGGTGGGATACACTTTCTGTAAGGAATAAAACAAGTAGTAAAAAAAAAAGTAAGCATCAATATCCATATCTCATTCTGTTAAAAAGTAATGCGTGCATTGTGACTTTATCCTCTTGTACGACCCTTTGGAAATGAGCCAGCAATGGCATCAAGAGAAGACCTTCATTCCAAAATGAATCTCCCGACAAAGAGGATACATAGTATACGATACCTTCTGCTTCTTTCAGAGTAAGAAGGGCCCAGCAGTGATCACAGATGAGCAGCTACATTGGCTACTGCTTTAGGTGTCTGTAAATCAGTCCAGTGTAAAAACCACCTATTATTTTCTCAATCCAATTCCATCCTCTTCAGAAGACTTTGTGAAAGTAGCCCACAAACAACTTCGGGATCACCCTGGAAAGACTGTTAGAAATGCAGATTCCTGGTCTCCACCCAAATAAATAAATCCAAACTTCTAAGAGTAAAGACTGCATCTCTTTTTAGCAATAAGCATCCAGATGAATCTTAAGGAGATTCTGAGTCCTATTGCTCAACAATGCATAAGCAACTCTACCTGGTGATGGCTGCTCGAGTGCACCTGTTTATCAAGCCTGCAAAACCCACCCCATTGGATGTTTAACCCAGTGCTTTTTGGCTCTTTCCAAAAAACACTGCTACTTTTATATACTCTTAGCCTTTTCAGATGTTACCCATAGGCAGGGTATGAAGAGTTTTAGTGACATTTCTACTGATTGTTTGAAATGACTATGATGTTTCCCACTTCAGTTTTTAAAATGAAACTCAGTCAAACTGTCTTTCTGGATGTGTAATCAGTCACATATTTTCCCCCTATAGAAGGAGAATGGCATTTAATGAACTGAAGCTTGTAACAGAGGCATCCCTTGTCATAAGAGGAAAGGAGAGGCAAGAGGAAAACACTGGTGAATTCAAGAGTACATGAGGTTCTTTAAGGTTTGTTTTGGTAAAATGAGAGATGCCACTGAAAGAAACAGCCTTACTGGGTAAGAGGTTTCAAATGAGTAGATGTCTAAAAATGACTGGATACCATTTCCACTTTGCATATTATATAAGGATAGATCCCTGGAGGCCAATCAGTTCACAAACAAAAACCACCTTTGATAGTCAGATTATATACTTAAATCAAGGGGGAATATACTTTCTTGGGAAGAAAAATTACCCAAATCAATTTAATTTAACATTGAAAAAAATATAAACACACCTTGGTATGGGGAAATATCATAAACAAGAAAATCAATACATACACAGATAATAAGGGAAAGTGTGGTACCTATGATACAGTATAAATACACAAACAGTAAAACCCAATCCCCTTCCCAAGGACAAAACCACCAGGTCACCCTGCCATTTCTGGACCTCCCCCACCTCCCACCTGGCTCTCAGTGATGAATTCACCTCTGATGCACGGTCATCACCCTTACTAATGGAGGCTGTGCTCTCTACGAGAGAAATCTACTCTCTGTAGTATTGAGAAAGAAAAAAAGAGCAATTTTTCTTAGAGCATTTTTTAAAAGTACCAGAAACAACTTTCCAAACACTGAGGTGTGTGATAAAAAGGGTCAAACTCACAGGTGCCTTCTCTGCTGCTGGCAATGTGACCCAACAACACCCAAGACTCTAAAATGACAGACTCCTATCAGCACCTGAAAGCCTATTGAGCTCCCTCAACAGTCGAGTGCTAGGGCTAAACCAGGAAAATGTCATGGCCATTTCAGACATTGCTTAGAGGCTCTGAATGCTTAAAAACAGAGCCATGGCTAGCTGGGGATCAGTTTATGGTGGAGAGGTGGTCTGGATACCTCTTTAAGTTCACAATATCTAAGATGCTCAAATAATTTAAAAAGTTTAAATTTGTAAGGTTACCAAAATTAAGATGAAAATAACAAAAAATGAAAACTAGAAAAATAACTAAGGAACTTTTCCTCCCTGAATAATGTTAGTCTGAAACTGTGTTGGCAAGACAGTGATTTCTTCATTCTGGTTTCCTTAACTAACATTCTAGCAGTTTAAATTTCATCCCCCAAACTTTTTCATAAGGATTTTTGGTCAAATTTTACTTCTACTTGGTTCTTAAGCAGATCTTTTCCTTTTCCTCTCCCTGTCATTCTCCACACCCTCGTATCTCCCATCCTACCACAATTCCATCACCCTAGAACGCTGGAACATTTCAGTAAGGAAATACTCAATGGAAACTAGCCCCACTAAATTTTCTGAAGAAAACAAATCAATGTGTACTTTTCCCTTTTCTTAAAGGAGAAGATATTGCCTGCAAATATTTAAGCTCTAACCATTTGATTAAAAATTTTCTGCCTGTAATTATCAATATTGTAAGACTAATTAAACCATGCTACATGTACAGTTACTTGCCTTTGTATGAAAGGAAAAACCCACTCTGTCATATCATCAGAGAGAACTATTTATACTAGATACAGCTGAAATTGGCTAAAATTGGTCAGAGCTTGAATGAAACAAAATAAGTGTTTTTAGGAGGCCACTAAGTTATCCTTGGAAAATCATTAATGACTGGTTAAGTCATAGGTTTAATAGTGATTAGTTCATAACATGCTGGATACACCTCAAGCAATGAAGCATAAGCTATTCAATTATATTTAAGTGCTATCAAATCTGTAACTAGTCAGAGTTTCTGGAATTGAACCAAACCAATCACTAATAACATCATATTTTAACAAACTCAGAAGAAGTATACCATAAAAATACACTAACTAAATCCATGAATTTTATAATGCTATTAAGAAGTGAAAATAAGGTAGTATGGATACATGGTGCTAATGTCTTATTTCTTTCAGTAATTCTCATGGTATTGCTGGGTCCTTTAGAAATACGTGTCATTCAATTTTGTGTGTGTGTGGTTATTAGATTACTATCTACAAGCTGCAGATGCCTGCATGGCAACAAATGTATTTTCAGAAGTAGATGTTATGTGGCAGGTATCAAAATGTGATGATCAATCCCATGTTTTCTATCAATTAAACCTCCTCATTTGGTTAAATAGCCAGTGTATACCAGAGTTCTACACAGGTCAAAACTATATCACTTTCAGAGCAGCAATACGCGATCCAAGGTTTTCTTGAAGGTAGTGCAAAAGATGCAGTTCATAATGTTCTCCAGATTCAGGGACTCTTATGCTGTGTCTCTCCTGAGGATAGATCTTAAACAACAATAACAAAAAATCAAAATACAGAAAGTGAAAATTGAATAATACATCTCCTTCCAAAGCTTTCCATAGAGTTTCAGCAGGATTAGTAATACAGAGCATAGCCTCTCCAAGATACTACACACATATATCTGACACAAAGGCCGCTCCCCCTTTTTATCATTCCTTATGCGCTCCAAGGCTTACAGAAGGATTTATGTATAGATCATTGGGTCTCCAAGTGTGATCTAGAGACATCTGGGGTCCTTAGAACCCCTTTTAAGGGATATGCAAGGTCAAAACCACTTTCAGAACAATTTGCCTTTATTCACTGTGTTGGCATTTGCACCAATAGTGCAAAAGCAATGATGGGTAATAAAAGTGCCAGTGCCTTAGCATGAATCAAGGCAGTGACATTAAATTGTATTGGATGTCACCGTATACTTTACCACTACACACCTATATTAAAAAACCCAAAGTTTAATAAACTGCAACACTTGAAGAGAGGTCTTTTTAAATGTTCTCTGGTAGGGGCACCTGGGTGGCTCAGCTCAGGTCATGAGCTTCGGCTTAGGTCATGATCCCAGAGTCCTGGGATTGAGCCCGGCATCAGGCTCCCTGCTCAGCGGGAAGCCTGCCTCTCCCACTCTCTCTGCTTCTGTTCCCCCTCTCACTGTGTCTCTCTCTGTCAAATAAATAAATAAAATCTTAAAGGAATGAATGAATGAATGTCCTGTGGCGATACAATGGAAAGAAAGCAGAAAGCACTTCCGCTATAGGGTGTCTAAAGGAAAAGCACTTATGAAACTGAGTTGCAAGCCACACTGCCACTTCTTTTTTTCTTTCCAAGATTTTATTTATTTGACAGAGACAGTGTGAGAGAGGGAACATAAGCAGGGGGAACGGGACGGGGAGAAGCAGGCTTCCTGTGGAGCAGGGAGCCCGATGTGGTGCTTGATCCCAGGACGCTGGGATCATGACCTGAGCTGAAGGCAGAGGCTTTAACCCACTGAGCCACCCAGGCACCCTGATGCACTGCCATTTCTTAAATGGAACTCCATTTTCAACTTGAAAGAGTGACTGACAACTATGGTGATTCAGAGGTGGGATACATTTCAAGACCAACAATGGATACCTGAAACAGCAGATAGTACCAAACCCTAAAGATACTGTATTTTTCCCCATACATACCTACAATGAAGTTTAGTTTCATTACTTACTCAGGCATAGTAAAGAAAATAAAACAACTGTAACAACATACTGTAATAAAAGTTACCTGATTGTGTGGTCTCTCTCTCTAAATATCTTGTACTACGCTCACTCATCCTGCAATGATGGGAGATAAAGTGCTTACATGATGAGACGAAGTGAAGTGAGTAAAAGGCCCTGTGATTTAGTGTTGGGCCACTAGTGACATGACACGATGTCAGAAAGGGGATTAACCACGTCTTCTTCTTTTTTTTTTTTAGAGAGGGAGAGAGAGTGTGGGGTGGAAGGGGCAGAGGGAGAGAGAGAATCCTAAGCAGTCCCCACATTCTGCATGAAGCCTGACATGGCGCTCCATCTCACAACCTGAGACCATGAACTAAGAAGAAAGCAAGAGTCCGACGCTTAAAAGACTGAGCCACCCAGGCACCCCAACAATCATCTACTTCTGGACCTCGGTTGGCTAGGGTTAACTGAAACCTCAGAAAGCAGAACTGCACATAATGGGAAACTACTGTAAACTTTAGCCAAAATAACACTTCCCAACAGACTGCGTATGGAAGTAGATATGAGAATCCAGGTGTCTTCCTTAAGCCAGACATTAAAGGGATTTTACAAAAATGTAAAAACAATACTATTTCATTCTTCTTTTTATATTTTGGAAAATAGTTTTCCTCCCCCACAAAAATTGTGATTTGTGTTAACATGTAATAGTTGATTATTATTTTTTAAAAAGTATTTTAAATTTTTCTTAGTTTTGGGGATGCCTAGCTGGCTCAGTTAGAAGACCATGTGCTCTTGTTCTCGGGGTTGTGAGTTCGAGTTCCATACTGGGTGTAAAGATTACTTAAATAATAAATAAACTTTAAAAAACAGAACAAAATTTTTCTTAGTTTTAATATCTTCTATGAGAAATATGGACAGACAAAACCCACATAAACGAAAGCTCTTTGGTGTGTATAGGGGTCCTGAGACCAAAAAGCTTGAAAATTGCTGCTACAGACAAACAGCTCATAGTTTATCTACATAAATGTCAACTGAGACATGAAACGGAAAAAGTAATATTTTTTTTTTTTTAAGATTTTATTTATTTATTTGATAGAGAGATCACAAGCAGGCAGAGAGGCAGGCAGAGAGAGAGGAGGAAGCAGGCTCCCTGCTGAGCAGAGAGCCCGATGCGGGGCTCGATCCCAGGACTCTGAGATCATGACCTGAGCCGAAGGCAAAGGCTTTAACCCACTGAGCCACCCAGGCGCCCTGGAAAAAGTAATATTTTTCACTCTTAGGAATAATCTGTGAAAGAAGTACAAAGGAGGAAAAAATGATTAGATTATCTTTTAAAACGCTTTTTTTTGAGTAATGGAGCAATGAAGGTGGTTAACCTATGGCTTTCTATTCCAATGTCAATATAAATATTATAAAATTAAAACATAAAATTAAAGGGGCGCCTGGGTGGCTCAGTGGGTTAAAGCCTCTGCCTTCGGCTCAGGTCATGATTCCAGGGTCCTGGGATCGAGCCCCGCATCAGGCTCTCTGCTCATCAGGGAGCCTGATTCACTTCCTCGCTCTGCCTGCCTCTCTGCCTACCTGTGATCTCTGTCTGTCAAGTAAATAAATAAAATCTTTAAAAAAAATGTATATATATATATATATATATATATATATATATATATAAAATTAAAATAAAATATAAAATTAAAAGACCATGTAAAGAAAAGCAAAGGAGGATACTGAATAGACTCCTGTCATTTTTTTCCATGATTACAAACTGAAAGCAGTTACAGATACACAAGTCATATAATCTAGTACTTAGCCCATATAGGTCATATAGGTCAGTTCTTAGCCCAACTTCAACAGAATCTTATTTTTTACCCAACTAGAGGCGCTACTAACTATGCCTATGACTTTAGATCTCTTAAGGAGAGAGAGGCCACAGCTGAAAATTCAGCCTTACTCCATAGTTTATTATATTTCAAAGTAATCAAATCACTAATTGCTACTTAATTCAATCAGAAAATAAAGAACTCACCTGTAAATCATATGGCTTTCCAGCCCTCACTAAAAAACTCAGTAATATACTGGTGTGTGCAAAATGGACATTCTCATCCAAGAATCCATGTAAAAGTAGTAAACGATTTGGTCTAGAGAAATGAAAATATCACAGGATTAGGCAAAATAGAGTTCTTGGGAAAACCACTTAACTCCTTTGATCACAATTAACTATTAGTTACTATTATAGTTATGTAATATATACAACTATATAACTATGTAATATAGTTAATGTTAATAATAAAGTTAACTTCCTTATACTGTAATATTAAAATAAGAATTCAACATTTTCAATAATAAATTTATAATACAGTAACCAGACACTACATGTAATGAAAAATGTAATTTGTGTTTGATTTCTTATGAAGATATTGGCATGTACCAATAATCATAGCACGTTCCTAGAGAAAGAAAAATCATAAATGTTGTCTATAGAATATATTTAAGCAGAACCATAACTTTTCACCTTGAAACAGTTATGTATTTAAACTTCTTTCAGCACAGTAATTGCTTCAAATATAAGTTGTAATAAAACCAGGTTATATGAACTGGTCTGTAATTCAGCTTTGAGAATTAGCCATGCTGTTTGAGTACTCTATAAAATATTAGTCTTGGTTTTATAGCATTTGTAGTTTTCATTGTTATTAAAGACAAGTTTTAACACTACAATTTTAAATTTATAATCTTAATTTTAAAGCTTGAACTTACTCAGAGGGAAACTTTTCTGCTTGCATGGCCACAGATCCTAAGTAATAGCCCTGCTCATTCTGGTCAGGGTGGCCCATATAGCGTTCTGTGTAGCCTGTGTCATAGAAGATCCACAGAGTGACTGGGGCCCCAGCAATAGCAACCTACAGAAGACAACAGTAACAGTCAAGTGTGATCCAAAAAACAATGGCTAGCAATGAGAATGTGTAACTGCAAATTTATAGGCTAAAATTATCCTTAAGCTTTGGCCCCACAACTGGGGCTTACATGGTCTCAAGCAACTCAGAAAATCAAAGTGAAGTGCCAAGGTCAAGAACTTGATACTTTGTGAGTCAGTTAGCTTCATGCTCAACAGGCATGCCACATACTAAACCCTTAACCTGGGCTAGCTGAAATACACACACCGGCCCCTCTGTTAAAAGGGGAGACTGAACTAGATAGAACATGTGAATGGCTCAGTGCAAACTCATTCCTGCTGCTGGGGAAAAAAAGTGTGACAAGTCTCAGCTCTATATAGGAAAGTAGCCATTTCTTTTTTCTTTTTTAGCCTCTGTTGGCAGTTCAGAATTTTAAACAATGAATGAAATATATTGAAGCACTAAACACTTTCCCCATTTTAAGGTTCCCACACAGTTTTATATTTAAATATTCTAATTACTTTCTCAACAGCTGCAAGTCTGGGAAAATTACGGCAGTTTTCAGAGTTTATTTTGTGGTTATTATAAAGATTATCTGAATATACATGGAAAAGCAAAAACCCTATAATTTTCGTTCTTAAAATTATTTTTTACTGTAAGATAAAATCATGTTATTGAAATAGTAAAAAAGAAAAACATTTCATAATTGCCATTCTCTTAACAACTTTTAACATCTTTATGTATTTCCTTCTAGCATATTTTTCTAGGAAGTTATTTATAAAATTATAACCATCGTTTGTATATTTAGTATGTTATTCATTCAATAAAGATTTACTTAGGACCTAGTATGTGCCAAGAATTGTGCTTGGCTACTGAGGTTACAGTGATATGCAGAGCACACAAGTCCCCGCCCTCAGAGTTTGCAGTCCAGCAATTAAATTAGTAATTACAATCCAGTGTGTGTGTGTGTGTGTGTGTGTGTGTGTGTGTGTTTTTTTTACTAATCATGACTATCTCCCACAATCTTTGGCGTGTCTATAAATTGCTAACAACTGGCCATCAAGTTGACAAGTGTTTTTTAATATATACATATAGATAGATATGTAAATATGTATCTCACATGGCTGTTAGATACACAAATCTTAACGTTCCATAATATTGCAAACTCTGTAAACCTTCAGAAAATAGACACTTCCTCATATCCTCAGTTGACAGAAAATTCAACCTCTATTGCAAAAAGAAATACAATAGGAAGTCACATACCCTGAAGATATCCGACCTCTGCATTAATGCCATCAGGGAGAGGTATCCTCCATAGGACCAGCCATGGATGCCCACACGATCTAAGTCAATGAAATCATATTGAGAAGCTAGATACTGGAGTCCTTCCACCTGATCATCAATTTCTATTTGACCCTGTCAAAAAAGGGAGAACATTTCACTGATTCTGATAAATAGAAGTCTCATTACCAGAGTGTTTTTAAAGCTGAAAATGGTTTTTACTAAAAATACCTGTAGTTTTTAAAGAATTAATTATCAATTGAGATTCTGTTGCCCAAAAAAAAATTGTTTAAACTCTATTTAGAGATAGGGGCCTATAGTTTCTGTTGCTAGCCAGTCTTAGAGTTTAGTTACCCCTTAGTCACAAAGTTCTTTCCTACTGAGACCCAAACTGTCCCTCGCTATACGGGTATTTCCCCCTTCCATTTGTTCTGTTGTCTGCTAAGAGGTCAGCATCTTCCTTGTAACAAGCCTTCCTATACCCAAAGACAAAAAATCAGCCCCCTTAAGTGGTTGACTAAATTTACTTCTTTTTAAAACTTAATGCAGTAAAGCGGAAGGAATCACTCTTGAGGTCTTATCCTCCTATTTCCCCATCATCTACTTCTAGGAACTGAACATACACTACTTCTTTAAGGTCCTATTAAGTCCTAATTCCTACCACCACCACCCTGTCTGTATTACTAGGCCTGCCAGTGCACACAATCTCACTTCACTGAGCCAAAAACAAAAATAAAAACAAAAAAACTTACATGAGAATACAACATAAGGTCAAAGAACTGGCTGTGGGAGAAAATCCCATGTCTTACTCAGCATGTCCAATACACTGGCAAACACAGTAACTGCCTTACTGTGTAAAAGGAACATCGGATTCTCATCATTTCCCAAAGCAGCAGAAAGGACATGGGGCATCTCTAAAAGGTAGCATTTAAAGCTTCCTGTAGAGAGAAAGAGGCTTGTCACAAGGAAGGCACTAACCAGTTGGTTTCTCTCTTCACAGAGGACAGAACAAATCTCAATTATTCCTCTCAATAGGGCACAGGATGTTGAAAACTATAGTGCTGCTTTCTGGCTAAGCTGGATATACAACATAGAAAGAAAGGGTATTTCTCTGTAAAAGTGGTTCTATCTCAGCTCCCTGAAGTTATATACAGGTAAACAGGTAGACGTGAGCTAGACTACTGAATATCAAGTTGCATCTTCCCTCCCACCCCTGAACTCTAACACAGACACACACAGATACGCGCGCGCGCGCGCACACACACACACACACATATTCTCTCTCTCACTCACTCACAGCCCCTTCTCCCAACTTCCTCTCTGAGATTCATACCAAACAATGAAACACAAAATGTAAATATCTTTAAAAGAAAAATGTTTGTATGCTCACACACCATTTTGTATTTAAAGGCGCCTTCAAATTTAAGCCCTCGGTGACAGGATCCCCTGTTGTCTATCACTACAACCACATAACCCAGAGAGGCTAGGGTATTCAAGCGGAAATACTTGACTCCTTTAAATCGATTATTCACCAACTGCACCTGAGGAAGAAATACAACTTCAGTGAAATTTATTATATGGTAGCATAAAAAAGCATTAAGAGGCAGGATGCTGTGGAAAGTAGAAAGCTTGAGTTTTTTGTATTATTTTGCTTTTAAAATAAAATTTTATTGTCTTGTGGCAAGAACACATCACAAGATGTACCCTCTTAACAAAATTTTAAATGTACAATACAGTATCATGAACTATAGGACTATGTTGGACAAATCTCTAGAACTTATTCATCTTGCATAATTGAGACTTTCTACTAGGTGATTAGCAACTCTCCGATTCCCCCCCTCCCTGATTCATTTTTAAGTTAACTTAAATTTCTCATGTTTATGTTCTTTTTCTTTCTCAACTTTACAGTCAAGGTTCAGGGGAATTACTGAGCAACCATAGACTTTAAAACTGCAACCAAGATATTCATTACATACGAGACAAGAGATTTAAACTGCCCCATAGAAAAAGTTACTAAAGGGGCACCTGGGTGGCTCAGTGGGTTAAGCCTCTGCCTTCGGCTCAGGTCATGATCCCAGGGTCCTGGGATCGAGCCCCGCATTGGGCTCTCTGCTCTGCAGGGACTCTGCTTCTCCCTCTCTCTCTGCTTGCCTCTCTGCCTACTTGTGATCTCTCTCTCTCAAGTAAATAAATAAAAATCTTAAAAAAAAAAGTTACTAAAATCATTATGGCTACCCTGAAGAACTGTGTCATTCAAATGACGGAGGCAAGGATAAATAAGATCATTTTTCTTTCCTACCAGTCTCTTCTGGGGTTGTCCCTGACCAGTAGCAGAAAAATTTAATATTTTAATGAAACACTGTGACCAGTTCAGTTTCCTTTTTCCTGTTGTACAAATCAGTGCAAAAGGTAGGATAATTCTTAAACCACTTATCACACTATCATGCTTCAAAATGACTGAGAAACTAAACACAGTTTAGTGCCTTAACAGAAATAAACTAGAGAAAAGAGGACTACATTTTTTTTTAAAGTTTTTTATTTATTTAAGTAATCTCTACATCCAACATGGAGCTTGAACTCATGACCCCGAGATCAAGAGTCACATGCTCTTTTGAGCCAGCCAGGTGCCCCTAAAAGAGGACTTTATTTATTTATTTGACACAGAGAGAGACACAGTGAGAGAGGGAACACCAGCAGGGGGAGTGGGAGAGGGAGAAGCAGGCTTCCTGCCGAGCAGGGAGCCCAATTCGGGGCTTGATCCCAGGACTCTGGGATTATGACCTGAGCTGAAGGCAGACGCTTAATGACTGAACCACCCAGGTACTCTGAGGACTTTAATTAATACAGAAAAACTTAGAGAAGGTTAGGGTTTGGTGGACATGAAGACAAACATTAAACAATGACAAAGAAGATTCTGGCAAAAATGAAAGAAGTTTTCATGTTGTTGTTTTTTTTAAACATTTTATTTATTTGTTTGACAGAGAGAGATCACAAGTAGGCAGAGAGGCAGGCAGAAAGAGGGGGAAGCAGGCTTCCTGCTGAGCAGAGAGGCCAATGTGGGGCTCGATCCCAGGACCCCAAGATTTTGACCTGAGCTGAAGGCAGAGACTTAACCCACTGTGCCCCTTGTTTTGTTTTTTTTTAAGATTTATTTATTTAGAGAGAAGGAGCATGTGTGTGAGTTGGGGAGAGAGGAAGAGGGAGAGAGAGAATCACAAGCAGACTCCCAACTGAGCACAGAGATCTATGCAGGGCTCTATCTCAAAAGCAGGGCTCAGTCTCACAACTGTGAGATCATGACCTGAGCTGAAACCAAGAGTGGGACATTAAGAGACAGAGCCACGCAGGTACCCTAAAAATGAAAAGTTTTTTTCCTGGCTGAAACCAATAGGAAAACCAATTCAGCAATTTAAATAAGAATCAACACCATCTTCACACAATAAATACATACTGAGCATTTATTAGGATAGAATAGGTTGTGCATGCTATGTGTAAAGAATCTTCTCTTTTTGTGTATAGATTTTATTTACTTATTTGTCAGACAGAGAGAGAGAGAGAGGGCATAGCAGGGGGAGCAGTAGGCAGAGGGAGAAAGAATCTTCTCTTTTTGAATTTCTGGATATCCAGTACCTCTGTAGCAACTGCGAAACTGGTCTTCCTGTTTCTACTCTTGTCCTCCTACAGTCTATTCACACGGTAGCAGAGGGATGATTTTAAAATGTAAATTACATAAGACTTTATAGCTTTTCTCCCTCCAACTGGTAAAGAGTTTAGACCTTATTCTAAAATCCTTACCATTGCCTTTTAAGACTTTACATTATCTGGCCCTTGGCTATTTCTCTGACCTCACCTAATAGCAAATCCCTACTTGTGCACTATACTCTAACCTTATGATCAACTATACCAACTTGCTTCTAATCCCAGGACCTTGACATTTACTGTTCCCTCCGTCTGGAATGCTCTTCCCTCAGATCTTTAAGGTGATTCACTCCTCCTCATCTTACATACATACCCTCAGAGACCTTCCCTGAACTTCCTACCAGAACTCCCATTTTAGTCTCTTTGCCATCCCCTTTCCCAGTAATTATGCATAGCACTTTCATTATATTAAATTATATCATTTATATATCTAGTCACTTATTATTTCCCTCATTAAACTCCATGAGGGTGGGACATTAGTCTGATTTGTTTGTTACAGTATCCTCACAGCCTAGAACAATAGCCACATAATAGGAACTCAATGACTTTTTGCTGAATGAATGAATGAAAATGGGAGATAGGAGAATGATGTCTTCCCTTTCTTTTTTTAAATTTTTTTTTTTTTTAATTTTAATTCCAGTATAGTTAACAGTGTTTTCCCTTTCTCTCTTGGGAGGAGGGGCAAAAAGGAAAGGAGTTGAAAAAAGAAATAGTAGGCATAGAAGACAAAAATGAGTATTTAAAGAAAACAACTTCAGGGTCCCTGGGTGGCACAGTCGGTTGGGTGTCCAACTCTTGGTTTCTGCTCAGCTCCTGGTCTCAGGGTCCTGGACCAAGCCCCATGTCTGGCTCTGTGCTCAGCAGGGAGTCTGCTTGAGGACTCTCTCTTCCTCTCCCTCTGCCCCCCTCCTCCCCTCCCTGCCCCATGTGCTCGAACTCACTCTTTCTCTCAAATAAATAAATCTTAAAAGAAAACTACTTCACTTCTTTGCCTGTTTTCACACACAAAATTGGCCCAACTGCCTGATACGAACATGTGCCCCAAGAGCCAGTATTTGTGCCTTTGCAGCCAGAGGTCTGCTATTTCTGAAGGAAGGTACTTAAACATAATGGCCTTTGCCACCGAGAATTCAGAAGTCTCCTTCAGTACCAGTTCTACAAAACCTGTGTCCTGCTATCACTCAGCCCGTTTTCTTGTTCATTTGTATTTATAAAACAGTGTCTAGCACATACGAAACATCACAAGGATTTGTTAAATAAACATTTTAAAACATACAGCTGTTCTTAATAAAGAGTTCAAAGAACTAAGCCTAGATGACTTTAATCAGATATAATTGCTTTTCTTGGATTTCACTTTTGTCCAACTATAGACATTGCTGCATTTAGTGACAAAGTAATTCACTTCATGTTACAAATTTTGACACTGTTGCCAATCAGTAGATTCCCACTTTGACCTGAATATACACCAAGAACGAACATGATTTGGACTAATAATAAGATTTAATCAAAAATTTATTTTTAGGGGTGCCTGGGTGGCTCCGTCAGTTAAGCGGCTGCCTTCGGCTCAGGTCATTCTCCCAGGGTCCTGGGATCAAGCCCTACATCGGGCTCCCTGCTCAGCAGAGAGCCTGCTTCTCCCTCCCTCTGCCTGATACTCTGCCTACTGTGCCCTCTATCTCCGTGTCAAGTAAATAAAAAAACCTTTTAAAAAGTATTTTTATTTATTATTATTTTTTAAAGATTTTATTTATTTGACAGACAGAGATCACAAACAGGCAGAGAGGCAGGCAGAGAGAGCAAGGAAGCAGGCTCCCCGCAGAGCAGGGAGCCCGATGTGGATCTTGATCCCAGGACCCTGGGATCATGACCTGAGCCGAAGGCAGAGGCTTTAACCCACTGAGGCACCCAGGCACCCTATTTATTATTGTTTTATTTGAAAGAGAGAGTAAGCACGAGCAGGGGGAGTGGCAAAAGAGGAGGGAGAAGCAGGTTCCCCAACCAGCAGGAAGCCTAATGCAGGCTCAATATCAGGACTCCGGGATCATGACCTGAGCTGAAGGCAGATGCTTGACCTACTGAGCCATCCAGGCACCTCCTGTGGCTTTTAAAACATAATTAGTAACAAGGAATAATGTAAAGGGATCCTTTAATCTTAAAGATCCACATAACCGGGTGCCTAGGTGGCTCAGCGGGTTAAGCCGCTGCCTTCGGCTCAGGTCATGATTCCAGGGTCCTGGGATCGAGTCCCACGTCGGGCTCTCTGCTCAGCAGGGAGCTTGCTTCCCTATCACTCTCTCTCCCTGCCTCTTTGCCTACTTGTGATCTCTCTCTATCAAATAAATAAATAAAATCTTTAAAAAAAAAAAAAAAAAGATCCACATAACCAGTTAGTCTTAAAGTGTATTTGTCACATATATCATATATCATTTCTTCACTGGAAAGGAGAAACATCCTTCTTACTTACTTACTTAGCCTTAGTATAAAAATAATATACCAAAACATGTAAAGCTTCTGAGAGTGTCTTATAATTTTTCTTAAATTTCTTTTTATTAAGCCTTTATTTTTTTTAAGCTATTTACTCATTTGAAAGAGAGAGTATGCAAGTAGAGGGCTAGGGCTTGAATCTGAGATCACAACCTGAGCCAAAACCAAGAGTCAGATACTTAACCAAATGAGCCACACAGGCACCCCAATACTTTTTTTTAAAGTTTACAAAGATTTGGCTTCAAGTTTTTAACAGAAGGCTAATTTGACTATTTATAGTTTTATCATTTATGTATAGATGAGTATAATACAAATGTGAATCATGTTTTGTTTATAAAACACACTTAACGATGGCAAAGTGATTTAACTTGATCTATGATTGTCATTGCTGAGATTTTGTGGCTTATGCAGTTATTTTGCTTTTATGTTATTTTTTGTATGTCTTTTTCTTTTTTTTTTCTATTTTTAAAGTACTACCAAAGTGGGGCGTGAACTCATGACCCCAAGATCAATAGTCACGTGCTCTGCTGACTGAGCCAGCCAGGGGTCCCTACTTTTTGGATGTCTTAGCATCCAGATACCTTTCCAGATATTGATTAACTGGATATAATTATAAAGGATATTTATGGAGGTAAGAGCTGCATTATAAAAACAGGATAACTATATTCTATTTCTTTAAGGGCCCAACAGTAAGATAATATAATCAATAAACATTTTTTAAAAGTGTCAATTAACCAATGCACGTACCCCAAATACCTTACTCTGATAGTCAACAGGATTTACTTAATATTCACATGCTAATATTTAATCAAGAAAAAGGAAAATTCAGGTGTAAATTTCTTAAAATGCTGAATGGTACTGTAGCACTTGCCTTACCTAGATGGTAAAAGTATTCTGGTCTGCTTGAGAGATACAAACTTAGAATGAAGAGGGGAATTCATCAGGCTACCAAGGCTTCTGAAAACATCTATTAAAACTCTTTTTATTTACCAAGACAGTTAACTACTTAATCTCACTTCCCAAACAAGTTTCTTCTCTACATAAAAGGTAACGTATTTATCTGCTGACATGAATATTCCATTCCCCATGACAGTTACGGTCCTAATGTAAATTAAGAAACTGACACTGCTTTATAAATTAGACATGTAACAAAACCCAACTTCTAAACAGGAATTAGAACACAAGCCAAAGTCAATAACAGCAGAGGCCCAACAATGCTCTTAACTTGAACAGACTAGACATTTAAAAAACAAATCACCTAAACACACTCACACGTATATATACAAATATGCCCACCTCAAAGGTGGGTGGGAGGACAGGCGAAATGCATGATGGGGATTAAGGAGTGCAGCTGTAATGATGGGCACTGGGTGATGTATAGAATTGCTGAATCACTATACTGTACATCTGAAACTAATGTAACAGTATATATTAACTATACTGGAGTGAAAATAAAATAAAATAAGGAAATACACCCACCTGAGGACCACCATATATGAACAGCACAGTGGGGTATTTCTTTCCAGGCTGTAGATCATGAGGTTTGTACAGCATCCCATACAATGTAAATCCAGTAGTACTTTCAAAAGAGAAAATCTCTGGAGGGGTGTAGTCAGGAAGAGGACCTATGAGGAGATAACAAAAAAAGTACATAAAAGTTCTTATGGGAGCTCTGCAATCTGAGAGCAAGGACAAGAAACCATGATCCCACAACCCCCCCTGCCCCGACAAATAAATGACCATCCCCCTTACAGGTGATAAGAAATTACTCAAGAACATTTATCTTTAAGAAAGAAAATTAAATGAACATATATATTAAATTATTTCAAAAAGAGATACACAATAATCTGAATAATCCTTAGAGCCTAGGAGGTGTTTAGATGCAGAAGTATACAAACACTTTGTGCTTGGTTCAGTGTAACTTAATGATGGTTAAGCCATATATCTGACCAGAAACTGGAAGCACAAATTTAACTCAGTTTAACTTGCTCACAGCAGGTGCTCAATAAACATTTGTTTCTGATCACTAGAGAGTAAGCCTAACCAGGACCCAGAAAAAAATGAAAGTCATGATCAGTATTTGGTTTAACAAAGCTATACAGACCTGTCCTAAGTCTCTGTACACTGGATGATGTCTCAGTCTAAGCAGAGATCATCACCATATTACGAATCTACCTGCGGACAATGGAACACGGTTTTGTTCCATTGTGGTTTTGTGGTTTTGCCCTAGTTTCTTAATACCTCAGCAGCTATTCATGAGGGAAAATGCTTAACAGGAAAAAGGATTTGGGGAAAAATTAGATTAAAGATACATAAAATTTTTTGTTTAAGAAATCAAGCATTTAAAAAATAGATAATTCACAGTGCTATTCACTCCCTATAGAACAAGTGTTCTATCTTTTATTAAAATGGCCACTGTAAGTGCTTAAAAAAGTTAAGAAAGCTACCAGCTGGTTATTCCCTAAAGCTGCAGCTTCCCTGCTCGGTCTTACTAGTTCCATGTACATTTTCTTCATCTGTTTAGCTGGGAAATTACCCAAACATGTGAACAAATCATTTCTTAGCTGATATTGTGACTATTTTATTCTTATTTTCAAAAAGGCCCTCCAGGGGCATCTGGCTGGCTCAGTTCGAAGAGCGTGTGACTCCTGATCCACAATGGGTGTAAAGATTGCTTAAATAAAAAATAAAATGAAATTTAAAAACTTCAAAAAGGCCTTCCAAACCTGCTCTTGCTTGGAATGGGAGGTAACCCATCTTATCTGGTGGTTGATAGACTAGGAAGGCTGGGATCAATCAGAACTCAGAAGCTCTGGGCCAAGTGGTGGTGAGAGTTGAGAAATGTGGACCTATGAAATGGGTTTAGTGCACTTATATACTAATCCTGCATAAAATCGGGTTCAGGAAAATGAGTACCTGCTGAATCCAAAATGGTGGCCCAAAATTCCTTTGTTTTGCAAGTTGGGTCATCTTCAGGACTTGACAGCTTGTAAAGGGACACACAGTGTGGGTTCTTCTGGTTACTATACTTACTTATAAAGAAGTCACAATGCTAGAGAAAGGAGAAACAATTATTTTTTCCCCATGGAAAAATAAAAAAGGTGCTACATCTGTCCTGGTGCTAGAGCAGGAGTATGGTTAGAGTTGGACCATTTATGTCCATATACAATGCTGAAGTTAAGAGTAGACTTTTTAGGGGCGCCTGGGTGGTTCAGTTGCTGTAGCATTGGCCTTAGGCTCAGGTCATGATCTCGGGGTCCTGGGAGAGCCCCAATCGGGCTTCCTGCTCAGCCAAGAGCCTGCTTCTCACTCTCCTCTGCCCCTCCCCGCTTGCTGTGTGCACTCTCTGGCTTTCTCTCAAATAAACAAATAATTTTTTTTTTTTAAAGGTAGACTTTTTAAAGTTTTTCCTCAGAGGATCAGACTTCAGCAGGCCAATTTCACTGATTTTCAAATTATTCTAAAGGAGTATGACATGAGAAGGTTTTTATATGATAGGAAACTCTTTTCCAACAGGGACTTAATACCTGGCTGATGCAGCAGGAGTGGGAATAGCCACGGTCAGTCAGCCTTGTCACCTCTCCAGGGTTTACATAACTGACCACGTATAGGTGATGTTCCAAAGGAGAGTCCTTGGTGCCTTCAAAATATACCAGCTTCCTGACTTCATCAACCTGGATCTGTTAAAAAAAAAAAAAAAAAAAAAAAAAAAAATCAATAGAAAAATCAGTGCTAGCAGGACCTTGGCCAGCCTAGTAATTCAACAAACAATTCCCAATTTTATTTAGAATCATTTGAGTTACCCTTTGACTTGTGCCTCTTAAAAAATTTTGCCACCAATGTTAATAAACCTGAGCTGATTTTGCTTATGACTTTTACCAAAGAATAGATTTTGTCCACAAGGAAAAAGGACATTTGAATTGCATGTTATTGTTAGTTTCCTATGTGGTTGAAATGTGGGCTTTTCTTAAAATGCGAGAGTTATTTCATTAAAATTACAACACTTTATAGGGAAAAAACATACCTATATTGCAGCTTAGGTCAACCATTCACGCATATGTAAGAGAGTCTAATTTTAGAATCCTGCATATTTTTCAGTGCAGTATTATCTTAGGCAATACTTTTTTGGTTTTTCTTTTTTTTTTTTTTTTTACAAACTTGCAAAAGTACTTTATCTACTGGGCTGGGAAGTAACTGAACTCAATTACAATTTTAATACTGGTATAGTTTATAAATAAGTATGGATAAAATCTTTAAGTCTTGGGGCACCTGGGTGGCTCAGTGGGTTGAGCCTCTGCTTTTGGCTCAGGTCATGATCTCAGGTCCTGGGATCGAGCCCCACATCGGGCTCTCTGCTCGGCGGGGGGACTGCTTCCCCCTCTCTCTGCCTGCCTCTCTGCCTACTTGTGATCTCTCTGGGTCTAATAAATAAATAAAATCTTTAAAAAAAATCTTATAAGTCTTCATTCAGAACTCAAAGAAACTATTAAGTAAACTCACAGCTGAAGTCATTTAATATTCTTCACAAATTATAGGAGTCTAAATAAATGACTTTTATTGTCCCTTTAAAAAATCTTCTACCAGCCTACTCAAACAGTGTTTAATGAAATTCAAATTTTTTTACACAGCAAAGAAAACAAAGATACGGGGCGCCTGGGTGGCTCAGTGGGTTAAGCCTCTGCCTTCAGCTCAGGTCATGATCTCAGGGTCCTGGGATCAAGCCCCGCATCAGGCTCTCTGCTCGGCAGGGAGCCTGCTTCCCCCTCTCTCTCTCTGCCTGCCTCTCTGCCTACTTGTGATCTTTCTCTCTGTCAAATAAATAAATAAAACCTTAAAAAAAAACAAAAAAAACAAAGATACATTTCCAAAAGCAAGTATTTTAAAATGCCACATATTCTCCAAGAAACTGTTTCTTCATTATTAATTATATTTTAGCACACACAGGTATAGAAAGAAACACAGTTGAGATTAAGTAGTGACATATACAGAAAGGATACAAGGGAGAGGAAATGCCAGAACAAACATTCATGAAGTTTCACAGGTATGTGTCAATCTGCGCAAATGGTTAGGATAGGTTCTGCTCTTGACCTAGCAGCTGACTTTTCAAAACTGGAGAAATTACTGGTTAATTTCTCACCCCTGATTTAAAGGTTCTTTCTTTGCTTCATGTGACTACTTTTATTAAACAGAAGTATCAGAATCACCTTGAGAGGTTTGTTAAACAAACTGCTGGGTTCTGCCACCAGAATTTCTGATTCAGAGGGTCTGGAGTGGACCCAAGAATTTACGTTTCTAAAATGTTCCCAGGTGATGCTTAGGCTGTGCAGCTGGTCCAAGGACCATACTTTGAGAACCACTCCCCAACACTGAGGAGAACATGGGCTTAAAAGGCTCAAAGCTTTACCCAATTATTGCCATTCAAAATCTTTGGGTGGGAATAAGGTCACTGGCAAAAGCAGAGGAAAATGTAACTTAAAAAAAAAATAAGGCCAGGGGCACTTGGGTGGCTCAGTGGGTTAAAGCCTCTGCCTTCGGCTCTGGTCATGATCCCAGGGTCCTTGGAGCGAGCCCCACATCGGGCTCTCTGCTTAGCAGGGAGCCCGCTTCCTCCTCTCTCTCTGCCTGCCTCTCTGCCTACTTGTGATCTCTGTCAAATAAATAAATAATATATATATATATATAAAAAAAACAAGGCCAGGATAGAGGGGATATGGAAGAGTAAGAAAGACAGACACAAACACATTACATAAGTAAGCATGACCGAAAAAAAAAGAAGAAAACTAAATAAGATTCTGATCTATGTAAATACAATTCTGTGGGTTCCCTCAGTATTATCCAACCATTACACAGCAGGAACTTTACAATAGTATAATTTTTTATTATCCACAGTAAGATTGTTCTCAAATGATAATAACATCCAAGGTCCTTAGACAGAAAAGATATATTTGGATATATAACCAGAAGGCCATGTGAGACTCTCAGTGGACATTAGACCTTAATGGTTACTTGTGATATTCTAAAGTTTTTACCAACAAAACCAAACCTGAGACCCAGATCTTCACTTTTTCTCCTTTACCACCTTGGGGACTAAGTGACTTCTATAGCAGCCAGTACACATAATCCTTTAATAAATCTCCAAGTCAGTTTGAGGAAATCAAAGGCCTTCCCTAAATCCTGGTAGCATATACATCAATTTAACTGAATGTATCAAACACATAAAGGGTGGAGTTCTTAGAGTTCTCAGGAAACTGACCACCTAACTGAAAGTACCAACAAAACACAAGGTACTATAAAAGGCAAAGAAAAAAAAATTAGAATTCATTGAATTGCTAAGAAAGCTGCATGCTAAGAGGAAAGAGGGTGGGTTTTCCTCCTTTTCCATATCAACCTGCACTCTGTATATATATCCACCACTCTTTGAAGGTACTGGATAAAACTTTAAACTTGTGAGATAAGATAAACAGGTAAGTGAAAGAGAAGCACTACCTCAGAAGTAGTAAATGCAATTTCTAAAGCAGAAATGACATGAGCCATCCAAAAGAGATACAAAAATAATTTCCAAACAATATCTCAACTCACAACTTTGGCAGACTCAGAAAATATGGACCAGCCCTTTCCTTATTAAGTAGCAACACTATATTTGAAAATGGTGAACCTAAGTAACCAGAACACATCTAATACCAGGGCTATAAAATGGGTGATTTATCATTTAAACTAAGATTATTCCTTTCTAAAACTTGAGTTCTTCTAGGCCCTAACTTAATATTGTCAAAACACTGGGGTCATAAGAAGTTGTACTACAGCTTTTTTGTACTGCATAAACACAGCAAATGTTGACCAAACATATCAGGAAAATAAAAGAGCATACGTTAGATCCATGCCGGCCAAGAACTTCCCATTCACCACTGGTAATTGCTATTTCCTCTTTGACAGGACACTTGAAATCACCTAAAGATAAACATAGTTATCATTCAGCACTCTGTATCATACTATAAGCAAATGAAACAACAAAGAATATGACTCTAAAACTCTTTTCTCCAAAAGTACGTTAAACAAGTTATATCTGGGATAATGAAAATGTTTTGAAACGAGACATAGGTGGTGACCGCACAACAGTAGGAATGTACTAAATGCCACTGTTCATCTTATTTTTCTTAATGTTTTAATTTTCATAAAAAAGTAATCTCTACGCCCAACGTGAGGCTTGAACTCAAGACACTGACATCAAGAGTCATATGCTCCACCACCTAAGCCAGGCAGGTACCCTGCCACTATTCATTTAAAAATGTTTGTTCAAGGGTTGCCTGGGTTGCTCATTTGGCTAAGCCTCAGACTCTTGATTTCAGCTCAGGTCATGATCTCATGGCTGTGAGACTGAGCCCCAAGACAGGCTCCACACTCAGTGGGGAGTCGGCTTGAGATTCTCTCTCTCCCTCTCCCCCTTGGTCCCTCCCCAACCATAAATAAAGAAATCTCTAAAAAAAAAATAAAATGCTTGTTTAAAATGTTTATTCTAAACTGGTTAATTTAGTGTTATGTGAATTTCACCTTACTTTAAAAAAAGTCTATAGATAAAAAAATTCCAAGTTATGAGTCTTCATAATACAATGGAATAATGGTAGAAGGATCCCTGTAAATCCAGTAAAAACAGCAAAATAGCCTCTTTTTTCTTTTAAGATTTTATTTATTTATTTGACAGAGATCACAAGCAGGCAGAGATGCAGGCAGAAAGAGAGAGGGGGAAGCAGGCTCACCGCCGAGCAGAGAGCCCAATGTGGGGCTCGATCCCAGGACCCTGGGATCATGACCTGAGCCGAAGGCAGAGCCCCTAACCCACTGAGCCACCCAGGAGCCCCCAACCCACTGAGCCACCCAGGATCCCCAGCAAAATAGATTCTGATGGCAAAGCGAGAAGAGAACTCAAAAGCAACTGTATTCCTAGACCTAGAAGTCTAATGGGTTGACAAGGCATTTTCTCTAGAAATGCAACAAACTACTTAAAAAGCCACAAAAGAAAAATTTTTATACAATTGTTCCTCATCTGCCAAAAATAAACTGGGTATTACCATGGTAAATGCCAACAAGCCCCATTTGTCTTTAAGAGATTCTGTCTGGGTAAAGACAACTCTCTCGGTGGCTGGTGGCCGAAGCAGGAGGTTAAAAAATGGAAACCATTTCTCTTTGCCTAGTAGCATTGTGGGAAGAGATAGACAGGGACAGGCTGAGATAGTGAGATGGTGAGATGGTATGGGAGTCTTAACTAGGTCCCTGTAAGGTTAAAGAAGTTGATTTATTTTTTCTTAGACACAAAAATTCGACTTAGTACTTTAAATTTTATGTCCAGGAAATATATATATATATATATATATATGTATATGTATATATATATATATATAATTATTATTTGATATATATATGAAACAAGTACTAATTGTTTCACATTATAGCCACTTGAGGAAGAAGAGGGAAGAGAAGATGAAGTGGTATCAAGGAAAAAGGAAGATTTAGAGCAAGAAAGTCTAAGAAGAAAGGAGCGGAAGGGAAAGAAGAGGTACATAAACTGAGAGGCCCAGAAAGAGACACTGAGAGGGAACAAAGAGGCCAGGCTTTAGAGATGAATGTTAACTTCCTACATTCTTCAAATTTTAAATTATAAAATTTTAAGTAACCAACATTTTATTACTGTTCCCCAAATACTGTTTTAGTTAATTAATTACTATTCACAGCTCTTTGACCCGTCTTCATCACTAAAATTTCTGGAGGGTGCCTGGGTGGCTCAGTTGGTTAAGCGTCTCCCTTCGGCTCAGGTCACGATCCCAGGGTCCTGGGAGCAAGTCCTGCATTGGGTTCCCTGCTCAGTGGGGAGTCTGATTCTCCTCCTTCCCTGCTGCTCATGCACTAAAATTTCTGGAATTTCTTAAGTGAATTTAATTTATCAACAATAGAGGAGCTGGTAAGGGCAATGTCACACTAAGGGTCAAGTTAAACTAAGGCTCTCAAGGAAGAAATTCTTTGCCTTGGATATACAAGATCCAGTCTGCCTTAAAAAAATTAGGCTGAGGAAAGGAACAGAGTCATAGGCAGTATTTATTTTGTTAGTCCTAAGATGTAGCTCATGTTTCCCAAATAAGGATGATATTTAAAAGGCCTTGTTGAGAAAAACACGTAAAGTTTTTGCAAAGTTTGCAAAGTTGGCGAAGGATTCAAAGACATTTCTCCAAAGAAGATATAGAAATGGATAATGACACATGAAAAGATGCACAATGTTACTAGTCATTACGGAAATGCAAATCAAAGGCACAATGACATACCACTTCATACCACTTCACTAGGATGGCTATATCCAAACAAACACACAAACAAACATACCACACAGAAAAATAACAGGTGTTGGCAAGGATGCTGATGAACTGGAGCCCTTGTGCACTGCTAAATGGGAATGTAAAATGGTGCAGCTGCCACAGAAAAGAGTATGGTGGTTTCCCAAAATATTAAAAATAGAACTGCCACTTGATCTAGTAATTTCACTTCTGGGTATACACCCAAAAGAACTGAAAGCAGGGTCTTAAAACAGGTATCTGTGCACCCATGCTCATAGCAGCGTTAGTCACAATAGCCAAAATGTATTCCTTGCTTGGCGGGGAGCCTGCTTCTCCCTCTGCCTCTGCCTATGACTCTTGTCTGCCTGTGCTCACGCTCTCTCTCTCTAACAAATAAATAAATAAAATCTTTAAAAATAAATAAATCTTTAAAAATAAATAAAATCTTTAAAAAAATCAAGTAGAAAACTGTAACTAAATTAAAAAACAAAAGCAAAAACAGGAGAACTATTAGATATACCATTTCACTTTTTCTAGGCTTACATATCCATTCTGTATTATATTTCCCAGAAGGACAACCATCACTTTTTAGAGAGAAATTAACTCCAGCTGACATCATATTTAATGGTCAACAACATAATTGGACAACATAATTATATCACTCTGAAGAGCTATAACCCTTTTAGCTTCAGTGTAGATGCAGACAGTATTGGGGAAAAAAAAAAAAAAAAGGAGGGGCGCCTGGGTGGCTCAGTCAGTTAAGCAGTTGACTTTTGATTTCTGCTCAGGTCATGATCTCAGTGTCCTGGGATGGAGCCCCATGTTGGGCTCCCTACTCAGCGGAGGGGAGGCTGCTTCTCCCTCTTCCTCTGCTCCTCTCCCTGACTCGTGCTCTCTGCCTCACAATGCTGCTCTCTCTCACTCTCTCTCATTAATAAGTAATCTTAAAAAAACCCACAGTATGTAAAAACCAAAAACAAAAAGTAGGAGGTAAAAATATCTAATAACTAAATAACATTTTAAAAACAGCCTTTTCAGTCTAAATATGACTTCGGCTCACTTTAAGCAAATTAAAAATTACAGTCAAGGCAAAAGTAGAAAGCAAAACTAAGTAATTCCATTCCCAGAGATTATTCAATAGTTTCTTATATAGCCATCAAGAACACTGTCCTGTAATTTCACATATGTATTTATACTTTAGCTTCACTTACATATTAAGTTTAATGAAGCAAAGTACTGATGCTTATAAAGTATATAAAGTATACAAAAGAGGCATTATATTATCCTGCCCCTCCCACTTTCTGCCCCCAACATACAGATGTATTTTCGAAACAAGAAAGGACTTCTTACTTGGGGCAGGCAGCCCACCACTGGATCGTTTGTATTTGCTCTCCTTTAAAATGGATGTGATTTTGTATAAATGACGGAAACCTGTTTTGCATTCAGAGGCAAAAATAAATTCAATTTCATCTTCATGACTTTGGGGAAAAACATGAAAGATGTCATGGATCTGTAAAATGAATAGCTTAATTTACTATACACATTAATGAAAATACTACATAAACAATTCAATTAAGCTAGGGAAAGAAGAATTAATTGATAAATACATTCTGAAACATAAATAACTGTCAGTGCTAGGGGTACTGTATATTTACAATATAGATTCTGTCTTGTCCTTTCAGATTTATCTCACTTTAGTCACAGACTTCATCACTGAGAAATAAACGTTCCCAAATGGTGAAAAAAGAAAAATATGACCAAAAGTTTTTTCTTACTCATCATCTCTATAATCCTTTGAAATATGGCATGAGGTTTAATGATATAAATCTTATTACAGAATCTAATTCTTATCCAAAATTTTATGACTTTTCTTTTCCAAAGAGAAATACTGTAAAAGTTGAAGGGTGAATCATATAAAGCCTGTACTCAGCCAAGAAGTGATCTGGCTTCATTTATTTTGTATCTTGTTTAAGTTTTTTCCACTAACTTGGAAAATGATAAACTCACTCCCAACTGGTAAATTTTGGTATAGTTTGCCAACTTAAAAGAGAAAATCTCTTCTATATTTCCACTCAGGTCCTCCTCAGAGACACTAATGAGGCTGTTTTTCAATACCTGATGTGTCCGGGAACAAGAGAAAATTTGTAGCCGGGAGACATCATTTCAGTGACCTCTTTCTATCTACAAATATTTTGATTTACAATGTTCAAACTAAGCAAATAATATTCATGGTTACTCTGAATTTAAAAGATTCATTTTGATAGTTTGCTATAAAACTTCACTTGCTTTAGCATTCTGAGAAAATATATAACCAAGTACAGGAAAGCATACATACATTTATCCAGATGTCTGTGGTTTCTTCATAGATAATTAGTGGCGTCACAGAGTCAGGCACCGACTCGATGAGTCTCTGTCTTTCCATGGCATCATCTTCTACTGGGATAAATAATTCAGGTGAGATCAACACTATCTGTAGGCGAGTTTGGGAGCGATCTAGTAGAATGGACCAAGCACTATTTAAACAAAACAAACAAACAAAAAAGCACCAAAAATAAAGCCATCTCTCAGAAAATGAATATTCCCCTACTCTCTCCTCTAGTACCCATCCGTTATTTCTGTAATCACAATTAAAGAACTGCTTTAGTAGATGTTAAATTATCACTTACAAATGGCTAATTAAAAATATTAGCTTTTTCTATACTTATTTTTTACAGTTAGGCTTGAGTAGAGTTTTTTAAAAGTGGTTGTCTTTAAACTCCTAAAACCACATATGATCTATGACATTGTTTTCTCCCCTTAGTGTCAACAACTGGCAGTCTTGTGAAACTCCTATTGTCTACCTTAGGAACTATATATAATCACCTTCACATAAAATCTACAAAAATTTTGCTTAAATTATATAATAACAAAATACAGACGTCCTTACATGTGAGCCCTAGGGTCATGCAATTTAACGACAGAAAGTACTGAAACCATGACTGGCTATGTAAGAGACAGAATGAAAACGCAATGCTCCTATGCTTACAAGATTACAAGTCTGCAAGCTCACTTAGCTCAGGAGAAATTCCCTATGCAGAAGTAACTACTCTGCAAATTTACATGTGAAGGCATCTTCAACTGAAGGACAGGCCTAGTAACAAACATTTCTAAAGCTCTGGATTCTAAATCACTTGTAAAAGAGTGACAATTTAACATACGCACTATTTTCCCTCTGGAGTCCATCCAGCTCTGGCAATATATTCAACTCCTTCAAACAGAATCTCAAAAGGTTGAATTAGTTCCTTATCTATGACATCGATAATCTATTAAAAAAGAAAAAAAAAGGAATCAAGTTACAGAAGACTTACATCAGTAACTAGCTTAGCTTACTAGTCTACCTTAATCATTATCTTTAACAGCATGACATTTTTTCAGACTTAGGTATTTAAAAAGGCATGAGAGATATAGCAAAACCAGCAGTTAAGTTTTGGGTTACCTACATTGGTGTGCTCTTCATGTCTAAAAAAGTTCTAAGCACAAGAATCAGTACAGTCTAAAAGTCTTTTCCCATGAGTTTATATATACTAACAGAGCCCTTACTAATAACTGGTAAAAACAAGTTTTAATCACTTTATTTAGACTCTAGTACCAAAGAAAAATAATAATCCCTAGTTCCCAACATTTTAGCCTAAATATGATTTGTGTAATATATTAGTGAAATGGCAACTTTTCCCTTTAAAAATCTAGCCAACACAAAAAGTAAGTTTAAAAAAAAAGGGCAAAGTATCTGAACAGATAGTTCTCCAAGGAAGATATACAAATGGCCAATAAGCACATGAGAAGATGCTCAATGTCATTAGCCATCAGGAAAATTTAAGTCAAAATCACAATGAGATACAACTTCAAGCTTACTAGGATGGCTTTAATAAATACGACAAACAACAGAAGTGTTGATGAGGATGCAGAGATTGGAAACCTCACACAATGGAAATGTAAAATAGTATAACCACTTTGGGTAAACAGTCTGGCAGTTCCTCAAAAGGTTAAATAAACATGTAGCTATCACATGACTGAAAAATTCCACTTCTCGGTATCTATCAAGAGAAGTGAAAACACACACACAGGTTCATGGTTGCATTATTCACAACAGCCAAAAGGTGGAACACCCTAATTATAACTGGTAAGCAGGTAAATAAAATGTGGTGTAGCCATACAGTGGAATATTACTGGGTGATAAAAAGCAAGAAGTGCTGGGGCGCCTGGCTGGCTTAGTCGGAAGAGCATGTGACCCTTGATCTCGGGCCCCATGTTGGGTGCAGGGATTAAATTAACACAAACTTAAAAAAAAAAGAAAGATAGTGCTGATACATGGTGCAACATAGATGGAGCTTGAAGACATGATGCTAAGTGAAAGAAACCAGACTAGATACTGTATGATACCACTTATATGAAGTATCCAGAATAGACAAATCTATAGACAGAAAGTAGATCAATGGTTGCCCAGTGCCAAGGGACACAGGAAGGTTGGAAGGTGATGATTAAAGGATGTGGAGTTTCTCCTGAAATGTTGAATGATGAAATGATGAAATGAAATGATGAAAATGTTCTAAATTCGACTGTGGTGATGGCTATACAATTCTGTGAATATACTAAAAACCATTCAAAACTTTAAACGAGTGAACTGTATTATATGTGACTTATCTCTCAATAAAGCTGTTAAAGTCTAGCAGAGAAGACTGGGTTTTTGTTTTGTTTTTTAATGAGGTTCCACACCTAGCATGGAGCTCAGCGTGGGACCTGATCTGGTATCAAGAGTTAGATGCTTAAGGGTGCCTGGGGGGCTCCGCTGTTGTGTCTGCCTTTGGCTCAGGTCACGATCCCAGGGTCCTGGGATTGAGCCCCGCATCAGGCTCCCTTCTCGGCGGAGAGCCTGCTTCTCCCTCTCCCACTCCCCCGCACTTGTGTTCCCTCTCTCACTGTCTCTCTGTCAAACAAATAAAATCTTAAAAAAAATTTAAGACTGAGCCACCTAGACTGTTTTTTAATTAATCTTGTGTGCATTCAGCTTATAAGCATTTGACTATCCAAATGTAAAGCAGCAATACAAGGGAAATGTGGGACATCCAACACAGGTGAGTCACTAGTCAATGAATGCCATCTTTTAAATACTGATCTGGAAAATTAACAATGGCAAAGAGGAAAAACCTTTAGAAAGGAGTGGTAAATATGCATATCCCTATATTCCTATCTCGGGAACCAGCAAAAAGTTTCCAAAGCATGGTTCACAGATATCTCAGCAAGTTAAATGGGTTTAAAAAATTAAAAAGTGTATCTAAGATATCTACTAGACTGACACAAAAAGTCAACTTGGCATTTTATACTTACCCTTCCTTCAGCATCAATCATTATTTCTGACATCTTAAAGGTGACTTTTGGATTTGCTGTGCCTTTAGAAAGAGACATGAATAATAATCCATAATCAAAATTATTCAAACTAATTTTGCCAGATCAATCCCCTTCATACTTTAGTTAAGTCAGGAATATTGCAGAGTCAGGGTCTTACTGTGTAAGAATCTCAGAACTTCAATTCAAATTCATAATTCTCAACATAGGTATCAAAAAAATATATATATACTTGAAAACATCAAGAGTCAATACAAAATAAATAAGAGAAATTCTATATAATTTTGTAATTGACATGTAAACAGCAAAATAGAAAAAAATCAGACTTATTAAGAACATAATCCCTTAAAAATCTGTTTCCTTAAAGAAAAAAAAAAATCTTTGTTTCCTAGCAAAAACTCCTCTTTTTTCATTCTTGAAGTAACCAGCTTTGCGCACTTACAAACCTTTGAAAAGAATTAAATAAGATCAGCCTGTGATTAAGTGGTGACACTTTAATGAATAATCTATCTTTACGAAGGTTGTAAATGACTAATTTGGCCATACCTTTGGATGACTACAGAGAGAATCTTGTTTGGAAAGTAGAAATGAGTGAATATAAATGTCAATGGAATATAGTACCTGTTTTAGGATAACGGAATGAATCTGCCCTCCTTGTTTCCAACATAGGGGATGTAACATGAATAATTTCCACCTCAGATTCATCATTTTCTTCATATAGAATTCTTAGAATTTTGCTGCCACTGGGAGCTTTTAAAAGGAATTTAAATATTGAAAATTCAGAAGAATTATTTCAGAGAGTAATCATAACTGACCACTCCCTCTAGTAGTATATTTCCCATAGTGAAAAATAATTTATGTATAAAAAACACTGCCTTTTGTATATAAAAGTCTCACTAGTCTTTGCACTAGGAAGGTGAGTTACTACTAAATCACTTTTGCTCATTAAAGAAAGGTAAAACCTAAAGATAATTATATATTTTGGGGGAGTGGTGGTTGTTGTTTTAATTTAAGTAGTCCACACCCATCATGGGGCTTGAACTCATGACCTGGAGTTCAAGAGTCACATACCCTACTGACTGAGTCAGCCAGATGCCCCTGTACCTATACATATTTAACAGGGGAAACACACCAAGGACTTCAGTCCATGCATACCTTAAAATGCATTCCTTGTTGAAAAATAAATTACTCGATTATATTTATAATATTTCCTGTAACAAAATAAATGCTATTTTAAAAAATATTTTATTTATTTATTTATTTGAGAGAAAGAGAAAGAGCAGGGGAGAGAGGCAGAAGGAGAGGGGAAGAGAGCCACAAAGAGACTCTGTGAGAGCAGATGTGGGGCTCAATTCCATGACCCCGACACCAGGACCTGAGCTGAAATAAAGAGTCGGACACCCATCCAACTGCGCCACCCAGACACCCTGAATATAAATGCTAGTTAAACAGAATATAGCTTTCTTTTTATGGTTTCTCTAATTCATGTTAGAATCTTGTTCTAACAAACACAGTTATGGCAAAACATTTTGCATCTTAAAACTGAATGTCCAAATCTAAGACATGGCTTAAAAATAAGTATTTTTCATGGTCCCTCAGAGAAATGTTCAAAATAGGAGCTGCTAAGGCACTCAGTGAGAAAAGTGAGCAACTCTTGATCTCGGGGTTGTGAATTCAAGCCCACTTTGGGCAAAGAGCTTACTTAAAAAAACAAAAATGATAGCTGCAATCCATTATTATGTCATGAAATCTATTAATGGGTAATAACAAGCATTTAAATATACAGTGAACAAAAAATATACAATATCAGAGTGCATTACACATACAGGTAAGTATTGCTTCATAAGATTTGTTTTTAGTTTTTGTATACAATATATGTACAAAATATTAGGCTGGAATGTAAAGCAAATTTCTAACTGGATCTTCAGAGAAAGCTGTTTCACAGGCGATAAAATACTTGTGAATTCATCCAGCAAAGGGAGGAATTTGTGCCCTTTTCCTGATCCATTCATACACTAATTTGGCCGTACATTTATGCATTCCAGTCAATCCTACGTTTTTACAGCAACGCATTGGGTATAGTATTTTCTTTTTGTCACCAATATTGCCACTAAGACCAGCCTCTACATGAAAGACTGGCAAAAAGAGTTAAAAACCAAAGGCATTAATGCAATTACTTTTTTATTTTTATTAGAATTAATTATAGTGGGATATAACCTATATATTTTAAATAAATACTGATAGGATCCAATCTTCATGACTTCATAATCTACTATTCAGGACTTAGCATCTGAGCACTTAACTGGCAGCTGAATCTCATAATATTTTAGTTCTATTATTTTGAACCCCCTTACTTGTTTCAGCTTCTGGACACCACCAGTAGCCAGAATATCTATCAAATTCTTCTTGAAGAACAAAGGTAGCAACTCCAGCTGATCTGGGATCTTCTTCCATGTTGGCTAGCTCTAGACAAATATAAATAGCAAAATTATCACAGGAAGTTCTCTAACTTTTGATAGGTATTAAGCACAATGATTTGCATGCTGAATGAAATCTGCATGCATAATGAAATGCAGCTGTAGTATTGTGGGGAAGTCTGGAGCCAAATGGACTGGATATAAATCTGAGCACCATCTGACCGACTGAACTTGTGCAAATCAACCAACCTCATTCCACTGAAGTGTCTCATTTGTAAATGGGAATAAGAATCGTTAGGGTTAAGTGAGTTAATTCACATAAAGCACTTAGAACAAAGCCTGAACCAAAATACGTGCTCCATAAAAGTCAGTTATTATTTCCCCCATTTAGCTACTAGCATCATGGAAAAAAAGGATACCCAGAGAAGTCCAACTTTAGACCTAGAATGGGTCTTACACAACATGTAATCTTCATCCTTCTTCCTCTCTCCCCTTCCTGCAGTCAACTTTTATCTGTTTTACACTTTCCAGTAAATAGTTTGAAGGGAACTTTGCTTTAAAAATAACCCTCCCAGGATGCCTAGCTGGCTCAGTCAGTTAAGACTCTGCCTTCGGTGTCCTAGGATGGAGCCCCCCTTCCGGCTCCTTGCTCAGCGGGGAGCCCGCTTTTCCTTCTGCCTGTCGCTCCCCTTGTACTTTCCTTCTGACAAAGAAACAAATGAAATCTTTGAAAATAAATAAATAAATACTCTTCCCCACCCCCCAATCACAAAGTCATAAATTTTATAAGATTTCATGACATGGAAGGCTGCCTGAATGGCTCAGTTGGTTAAGCATCTGCCTTTGGCTCAGGTCATGATCCCACAGTCCTGGGACCAAGCCCTGTATCAGGTTCCCTACTCAGGAGGGAGCCTGCTTCTTCCTCTATCTCTGCTGTTCCCCCTGCCTGCGCTCTCTGGCATGCGGGCTCACACACACACACTCTCTCTCTCCCTCTCTCTCTTTCTCCCTCTCTCTGTGTGTCAAATAAATAAATAAAATCTTAAAAAAAAAAAGATTTCATGGGCACCTGGGTGGCTTAGTGGGTTAAGCCTCTGCCTTTGGCTCAGGTCATGATCTCAGGGACTTGGGATCGAGTCCCACATTGGGCTCTCTGCTTGGCAGGGAGCCTGCTTCCTCCTCTCTCTCTCTGCCTGCCTCTCTGCCTACTTATGATCTCTCTCTGTCAAATAAATAAATAAAATCTTAAAAAAAAAAAAAAGGGTTTCATGACATGGAGAAATATTTGTAATATACTTGGATTAAAAATAGCCCTATTACTAGATGGCATGTACACTATAATTTCATTTATAAAAATGTTGAACATACATTTTAAAAAGTGTTGGGATATAAACCAAAATGTGGTTCTCTCCAAATATGAGACAGACTACGGAGAAGCATTTTTTTTTTAACATTTATTTATTTATTTATTTGACACACAGAGAAAGATCATAAGTAGGCAGAGAGGCAGGCAGAGAGAGAGAGGAGGAACCAGGCTCCCCGCTGAGCAGAGGGCCCGATGCGGGGCTCGAACCCAGGACCCTGGGATCATGACCTGAGCCGAAGGCAGAGGCTTTCACCCACTGAGCCACCCAGGCGCCCCGGAGAAGCATTTAAAAAAAAAAACTGTTTTAAGGGGCGCCTGAGTGGCTCAGTGGGTGAAAGCCTCTGCCTTCGGCTCAGGTCATGATCCCAGGGTCCTGGGATCGAGCCCCGCATCGGGCCCTCTGCTCAGCGGGGAGCCTGGTTCCTCCTCTCTCTCTCTGCCTGTCAAATAAATAAATAAAATCTCTAAAAAAATTTGTTTTATAATTAACAAAATTTTAGGTGTAGTATTTGTGAAAAATGTACATATTTGTGTAACCAATCACACCCTATCACGACATATGATATTTCCAACACCCAGAATGTTTTCCCCTGCCTCTTCTCAGTCAATACCCATTCTCACCCCCAGAAGCAAACATTCATCTGACTTCTGTCACTAGAGGTTAGTTCTGCATATTCTAGAGTATTATATAAGGGAAGTCATACTTTGTCTGCTTTTTGAGATTCACCAATATTGTTACATGTATCAACAATCCATTCTTGTTTATTGCTGGATGATATTTCAGAGCATACCACATTTTGTTTTGTTTTGTTTTTTAAAATCCATTCAGCTGTTAATGGTATCTGGGCTGTTATCAACATTGTCAGTTATTGGTGATATGAATAAAGATACTATAATCTTTCTTGTAAAGAGGTCTTTGTGGGTGTATGCTTTCTCTTGAATAAAGACCTGGGAGTGGAATGACAGGGTAGTATGATAAGTGTTTAACTTTGTAAGAAACTGTCACATAGTTTTCCATAGTATTTGTATTATTTCACATTCTTACTAGCCATGTGTGAAAATTCCTCTCCAACATTTGTGTTCTTAATCTTTTTCATTTTAGCCATTCTAATGGGTGTATGGTAATATGCCATAGTGATTTCAGTATTATAGACAAGCATCAATGTATTGTTTTTGGTTATCTGTATTTTCTATATAGTCAAACAAATACACAACATGAGTCAATAATCCCCTATCCAAAAATTCTGAGTCCAGAAGTGTTTGGAACTCAGAATTTGGGGGATTTTTCATATTTATCATATATCTACCATATAATTATGTAACATCTCTGGCAGGGTAATCAAATACCCTGTAATTGAATACACTAATATTCCTGCAGCAAATTTATGAATAGACACACTATGTAGGATTAAGATTATAAATAGCCTCAGGTCAGTTCAGGACAGGTTTTGCCAGCAAATGAGTTTTAGCTCTCAGCTACTGAAAACTAAGCTCAGTTTTTTGTTTTTCTTTTAAAGATTTTATTTATTTATTTGACAGACAGAGATCACAAGGAGGCAGAGAGGCAGGCAGAGAGAGAGGGGGAAACAGGCTCCCCGCTGAGCAGAGAGCCCGATGCGGGGCTCGATTCCAGGACCCCAAGATCATGACCTAAGCCGAAGGCAGAGGCTTTAACCCACTGAGCCACCCAGGCGCCCCCTAAGCTCAGTTTTGTTTTTTTGTTTTTTAAGATTTTATTTATTTATTTGACAGATCACAAGCAGGCAGAGAGGCAGGCAGAAAGAGAGGGGAAAGCAGGCTCCCTGCTGAGCAGAGAGCCCGATGCGGGGCTCAATCCCAGGACCCTGGGATCATGACCTGAGCCAAAGGCAGAGGCTTAACCCACTGAGCCACCCAGGTGCCCCCTAAGCTCAGTTTTTAAGAGTTTTTTGAATTTTGGAATTAATGATATAGGCAAAACCAGTGTTCGGTTTTCTTGGATCTTTCAACTACCCCAAAGTTATACCCACCATATTGTTTCATATTTGTTCTCTTTTGGATGTGAGAACCACTCATTTCTATCTCCCTTTCACTTAATATAGACTTCAATTATTGAGTTATTTATTACATGAATAAAAGGTATCGCTTTGTTCTTCTGATAGGTCAATATATCATTTGAGGGTAGAGGCTGGTACTATATTACTTTCACATTCCTTTTCATACTAGCAAAAAGGAAACATATGCACATGTTCACTGACTAACCCCATCAGAAAGCAGACTTTCACTTGGAAACTTACTGTAAGCAGAGTTAAGAGTGAAGATGCTTACTCTGTACGTATCTTTCTACTTAAACACCTCACTCTTACTAGGTTTCAGACACCATCCTAAACACTTCACAAATATAAACTCATTATAACCTCATAAGAGCACTATAAATGACACACCTTTTTAGATACAGAAACAGATCGGTTAAATAACTTACTCAAGGTCACAGAAGTACAAAATGGTAGACCTAGATTTCAAACTGGAATGGTTCTAGACTGCATTTTTATTTTTTTTTTTTTTAAAGATTTTATTTATTTGACAGAGACAGCAAGAGAGGGAACACAAGCAGGGGGAGTGGGAGAGGGAGAAGCAGGCTTCCTGCTGAGGAGTGAGCCCCTTGTGGGGCTCAGTCCCAGGACTCTGGGATCATGACCTGAGCCGAAGGCAGATTCTTCATGACTGAGCCACCCAGGAGCCCCTAGACTGCATTTTTAACAAGTACATTAATCTTGAAAATAATAAACATACCACATACCTATATGCACAGAAAGGAAAATAATAGTAAGAACAATACTATAGCATCCTGGAGGGTTCTGGTGCTTTCTACTTTAAATTCTGTCAATTCTTTTTTTTTTTTTTTGGATAGAGAGAGAGAAAGAGATAGAGGCAGAAGGAGGTGGAGAGAGAAAGTCTTAAGCAGGCTCCACGCCAAGCACAGATCTCACAACACTGAGCTCATGACCTAAGCGGAAATCAAGAGCTGGATGCTTAACCCACTGAGCCACCCAGGCGCCCCTAAATTCTGTCAATCTTCACAATAATCCTGTGTGGAAAAACAATTCTACAGAAGAAAAACTAGACTTAAAAAATCTTAATTCTATCGGTTACTGTCAGAGTTTTGCACTCCCAGCCTCAAGTAGGATAACTAGTACATAGTGAGAGTTCAATGTTTGTTAAAAGCATGAAGAAACAGCTAGGATTTCCAAACCAGATTTACTAATCATCAACCTAATCCTACTGTCACTGGTAGCCGTTCTGATTCCTTGACTCCAAAGGGAGACGCAAAACATACTTTTCTTCCTTCCTTCCTTTCATTCTTTCTTTAATATTTATTTATTTATGTATTTGACAGAGAGAGAGAGAGAAAAAGAAGGAGAGAGAGTGGGAGCAGGGAGGTAGTGGTGGGTAGAAGGGCAGAGGGAAAGAGAGGAGGAAGCAGAGTCCTCACTGAGCATGGAGTCTAACACGGGCCTTGATCTAAGACCCTGAGATCACGGGGCGCCTGGGTGGCTCAGTGGGTTAAAGCCTCTGCCTTTGGCTCAGGTCATGATCCCAGGGTCCTGGGATCGAGCCCCACATTGGGCTCCCTGCTCAGCAGTGAGCCTGCTTCCCCCTCTCACTCTCTGCCTGCCTCTCTGCCTACTTATGATCTCTGTCTGTCAAATAAATAAATAAATAAAATCTTAAAAAAAAAAAAAAGGCCCTGAGATCACGACCTGCGCCAAAATCAAGAGTTGGATGCTTAATAGTCTGGGCCACCCAGGCACCCCCAAAACACGTACTTAACACTTAAAAAGTTCCCTATTCCATCCCCTTTGGCCTATCTGATGTTCCATAGAATCTTTGTCCACTTAAACCTGGATAACTTCAACAGTCAAGTTTTGGTGTCCTCGCCTCTAGCCCTGGGATTTTCAAACACAACTTTCACAAAGTATCCAGAACAATTTATCTATAATATGACTCTGACCACACCATCCAATTGTTTAAAACTTTCAGTGGACCCCCACATCATGTTAGAGACTCTGTTGATTTATATGAGATACAGTTAACCCTTGTCTTGGTTACCATTACCTTCTTGATTCATGCCTTACGTTTTAGAACTGTCAGACTGTTTTCAACTCCTCACGCACCACCTTCTGCATTAAGACCTTTCTCAGGTGGTCCACTCACTGGAAGGTACTGGTTAATGTGCAGTCAAATCTAAGATCAGGTTAGGTGCCCGTTAGGTGTCATCTCTTATAGGAAGCCTTTCCTGACCACTACCCCATACTGAAACCCTCACAACACCCTATATTTGTTTATCATTCTGTTTTATGATTCATACAGTTTCCTTGAGGGTCCGGGTTATGTCTTACTCAACTCTGTACTCTTAGTTCCTGCCATGTTACGTGGTGCACAGGAACTTAACCTATCTTTACTGACTGACTGGATAGCTAGAACAGATTTCTTGACTCCTAATTCAGTGTTCTTTCTACCAACGAAAACTGTTCAGGAAAAGGCTTTTTCTATAATACTGATAATCCTAATAATGAAAAAAATGTTTGTCGTCAATACACTACTGTATTGTAAAATAACTTAATCAGAAATATGCCCAATAATTCAGCTTTGTGAACATTAGATTAAACAAGAGTTGAACAAATGAATTTTGAAAGTGACCATCCTTCACTGTGGAACTTACTTTTGTTTTATGTGTTCAAAGAAAAAGCAATACACCATTTCCCATCTTTCATTTGTATGAAAGCTTCAGAGGAAAACATCTACATCTTTTCTGTGCTTTGAGCAGTGATTGAGACGTGATTACTATAATCACTTCAATGAAAATTAATGATTTCCACAATACACACAATTCTACAAAGTTTTATTTTTCCTATTATGACAAAGTAGGCTCTCCAAAAAGGGGAGAAAAATTTTTGTGTATTAGGTATTTGTTTCCCAAAAGCAAGATTAAATTTTTTTAAGATTTTATTTATCAGAGAGAGAGAAAGAGGGAACACATACAGAGAGGAGCAGCAGGAGAGGGAGAAGCAGGCTCCCCTGATGTAAGCAAGGAGTCTGATGTGAGGCTCGATCCCAGGACCCCAGGATCATGACCTGAGCCAAAGGCAGACGCTCAACCGACCGAGAGACCCAGGCATCCCAAGATTTTTTTAATTGAAATTTTACTTTAATGAAAACAGTTTTGGGGAAATCCTGGCAGTCTTAGTAAGCTAAAAAAACAATCATGTCAGAGGTGCTACAGTGCTATCTGAAAATGAATATTAAAATAAGGCAGCATTGGGGCGCCTGGGTGGCTCAGTGGGTTAAAGCCTCTGCCTTCGGCTCAGGTCATGATCCCGGGGTCCTGGGATCAAGCCCCGCATGGGGCTCTCTGCTCGGCAGGGAGCCTGCTTCCTCCTCTCTCTCTCTACCTGCCTCTCTGCCTACTTGTGATCTCTGCCTGTCAAATAAATAAATAAAATCTTTGAAGAAAAAAAGGAAAAAAAAATAAGGCAGCATTATGTGGGTGGTACATACCATTTATCCTCTGTACTTTTTAAAGATTTGAATTTAGGGGTGCCTGGGTGGCTCAGTGGGTTAAGCCTCTGCCTTCGGCTCAGGTCATGATCCCAGGGTCCAGGGATTGGGCCCCGCATCGGGCTCTCTGCTCAGCAGGGAGCCTGCTTCCCCCTCTCTCTCTGCCTGTCTCTCTGCCTACTTGTGATCTCTGTCAAATAAATAAATAAAATCTTTAAAAAAAATAAATAAAGAAAGAAAGAAAGAAAGATTTGAATTTAAAATATAAAGGTAACCTACTTTGCCTCAATTTCAAAAAGTGAGCAAAGGAAAAATTTTAAAAATGCTTTTCAGAAAAATAGATTTGAAGAATTATGTGTTACCATTGTGCACATAGGTGAGCCTCCTTTCTTCTCTGGTTACGATGTTGGATATCCAAATATCATTGCTATGTATAAAAGCAATCCAGTCTGGATCAGCTGGGCATAATTTGGGATCCATGCGAATGTTGGGACAACTAGTCTCTACTAAATTCGGCCGTAAGGGTTGTTGCTAGAAAAGAAAAAACATTTTTAAAGCAAGTATCAGGCTGATACATACTTTATTCATTTGCCAACACCCTTCCTATAAAATGAACAATAATTCCAAGTAAAATGTCAATTATAACTGCTCCTTAGAAAAATATACTTTTGCATGCCTTAACTTATAAGGACAGACTCTTTTTTTTTCTTACTATCAATTAGAAAGCTAAGGATACTAGGAAAGTAAATAAGGATTTTTTTAAAGGTTTATTTATTTGAGAATGAAAGCAAGAGAGAGCAAGAGAGAGAGAGCACTCGAGTATACATGGAGGGGCAGAGGGAAAGGGGAAAGGAGAAAAGCAGAGTCCCTACTGAGCGCAGAGTCCCACAACCCATGACCCATGAGATCATGCATGACCTGAGCCAAAATCAAGAGTCAGATGCTTAATCCACTGAGCCACCCGGAGGGCCCCAAAAGGAAAATAAATAAAGAAATATAATAGCGCTTCATAAGTTTTGTTATCCAAACCTGTTTAATTATTGCTTGTTAAATACTTTTATTAAGCACTTATTTATTGAATACTTATTCAATATTTTAAATTCATTTTACCAATATAAAACAGTACGCTCAAAAAGATTTAACAAAAGCCAGGATCATACAATTCCAACAAAAGAATAGTTCCAATACCATGTAAAGAATTGCGGAGAGGGGTGCCTGGGTGGCTCAGTTGTTGAGCATCTGACTCTTGATTTCAGCTCAGATCATGACCTCAGGGTCATGAGATCAAGCCCCCACATCAGGCTCTACACGCACTGGGGATTCTGCTTGAGATTCTCTCTCCCTCTGCCCCTCCCACACTCATTCTTGCTCTATTTCTTGCTGTTTCTCAAATAAATACATCTTGGGGTTCCTAGGTGGCTCAGTTGTTAAGCATCTGCCTTCGGCTCAGGTCATGATCCCAGGGTCCTGGGATCGAGCCCCGCATCAGGCTCCCTGCTCAGCAGGAAGCCTGCTTCTCCTTCTCCCACTCTCCCTGCTTGTATTCCCTCTCTCGCTGTCTCTCTTTCTCTCTGTGTCAAATAATTAAATAAAATCTTTTAAAAATGAAAAAACAAAAAAACAAAAAAAATTGCCTGGAATAAAAGCAAACATTTAAAACCATTTATTAAAATGAATTAAGTTTTTTGGGTGCCTGGGTGCCTCAGTCAGTTAAGTGTTTGGCTCAGATCATGATCCCAGGGTCCTGAGATCAAGGCCCGCATCGGGCTTTCTGCTCAGCAGGGAGTTTGCGTCTCCCTCTCCCTCTGCCTGCTGCTTTGCCTACTTGTGATCTCTCCTTGTCAAATAAATAAATAAAATCTTAAAAAATCAGTTAAGTTTTTAAGAGAACCAAAATTAGACTGCCTTGTCGTAACAATATCTTCCAAAATCCTCCTCAACCTTTACTCAGAAAATGGGCATTGATGTCCTTTACTAAATCTTCCTACATAGCAAGTATTTTTAGCATTTAAAAAATTACATATTAACATCAGTGCAAAAATGATTAATTCTTAACACAAGAAATTAATACTTATATATCTTGTTTTCTTTACTATTAAATTTCTCACTTGGTTGGTAGATATAATTTTTTGGTTTAATTACCTTTCTGATTTGGATGCAAATAACCGTTAGTACCCAAAAACAGATTTAACAAATCGTAACATGAACTTACAGTAAATCCTTGTGGCCCTCCATCTTTTACATGATAAATTCCACTACCAGCTTGAAACAGAAATGTTCCACTTCCTTGGTGATAATCGTAGGAAGCAATTCCAACAGTTCCAATGCGTTTCCTTTCTCTTAATAGTTCTTCTTCTCGAGAATACATTCCATAGTCCAGTGTTGCCTAATGCAAAAGGAAAGAGAAGTCACCTACTTTGGTCTTCTAAAAGCTTGCTATTTGCTTTTAGCAAAAACTTTCCACTGAAATCCTAGCATCTCCCATATTACCGAGTCTACATGTTCAATGACTCCAAAATGTGCCAGTTAACACTAAGCAAACTAATTTTAGGACGTTTCCTGGAAGATTTCCTGGTAAAGGGTCTCTAGATGATTACTGCATATAGTGGAGAACGAGAATTGTCTCATCACCTTGGCTTGGAATTCTAGACTTTCTACAACTTAAATGTAATTGAGAGGTGTTGCATGTAGTTAAGAGCACAGACTCTGAAACCAAGTGGTTTGAATCTCGGCTATGATACTCATTAGAACACTGACTTTGGGAAGTAGTTTAACTTCTTCAAAAGTAATTGTTCTCACGTTCAAAATAGTAATATATCATTTACTTCAGCTTTGTGAAGATTAACTTAGATAAAAACATGTCAAGTGTTTAGCACAATGATTGGCATAGAGTAAATTCTCAAGTATCAGCTGTCATTAATACCTTCCCACCGCATCTATTAATACTCTTCTAATAAAACCCTAGATCAGGGTGGTCATGTCACTGACATAAAACCCAACATATGAGTTTCTGCCTCCTGATCTTTGTCTGTTCCACTATCCCCTTTGAGACACTATTTTTCTTTCATCCATCCAAGTTCTACCATTATCCCAAAACCTCAGCTCTGATTCCATCTTGCCAAGGAAAGTTTCCTGATCCACTATGATGTACAGTCATCTCTTCTTTAAAATTTATGTAAGAGTTACTATGTCTTTTACTTATTTGACTGTGGTACCATCTTTCGCTCTTTTCAGTATTTCTGACTAGAAATAGTTTAAAAAAAACTTAAGAGCAGACTTTGTGTCACTTTGTTTTCCTACCTGCAGCATCTGTTAAAATCTCTCTCAAAGACTATTCGTAATTAATGACCGATGATGATGAGGGGTTTTCCTAAGCTAGAAATATTATTTGATGCAGGTATAAAACTAAAAAAGGAATATAAAGAAAACAAACTGAGTAAGTGCTAACAAAAAAAATTTATATCCACATTTTCCCTATGAGCTCTTAATACTTTGAGTATGATAAATAAGGGAAGCAGACACGGTTTCTACTATCAAGGATATTGATATTCCTTACAAAGGAATATAGATGAGTCTACTGGCAGGAATGTATCACTCCAAAACTAAGCTAGCACACTGAAAGTAAACACTGTTCAAGGATGGCAAATACATGTGTGTACTTGTAAACCTAAAATAATGTTGGGTGAGGATAAAAATGAGACAACCTAGAAATCTTGCTAAAAACACACATACTTTTTTGTATTCACTCTATCACTTTTTTATGAATACTTAATTACATGTATATACATTTATACATGTGTGTTAGGCTCCAATAGAAAAAAGCCCTGTAAATTCAATGAACATATAGTTTTATTAATTCTGATCCCTTTAAGTATCTCTTAAGACTCTTCTGATTGAAGCCAAAATCAGTTCTGAGAATATGATTGTATTTTAATTTCTCCCCTCTTACTCTCCCTGAATGTCACTGGACTTAGTCTGTACTTAATATGTCTTAATACTTAATAATCAGAACATAAGAAACTTCACAGCTAAGAAATTAACGTGAAAACTTGGTAATTATAAATTAACTCGAAATGAATCAAAGACCTCAATGTAAGAGCTAAAACTATAAAATTCACATATAAAAAACAGACAAAACTCTGTGTGACCCTGGATCAAACAACAGTTTCTTAGATATGATGTCAAAAGCACAAGCAATCAAAAAGAAAACAAAATGACTGTACTTTATCAAATTTTAACTGTGTGCATCAAAGAATGTATATTAGTTTCCTAGGGCTGCTATATTACAAACTTGGTGACTGAATACAATAGAAATTTATTCTCTCACAATTCTAAAGGACAGAAGCCCAAAATTAAGAGCTTAGTAGGGTCATGTTTCCTCCAAAGGCTCTAGGGGAGAATACTTCCTTGCCTCTTTCAGCTTCTGGTGGCTCATGGACTCCTTGGTTTATGGCAACATAACTGTAATCTTCAGATGACCTTTAGCCCTCTGTGTCTGTTTCAAATTTCCCTCTCCTTTGTCGTATAAGAATACCAGTTGGATTGCCTGGGTGGTACAATCAGTTAAGCATCTGACTTCAGGTCAGGCCATGATCTCAGGGTCCTGGATCAAACCCCAAGTCGGGCTCCCTGCTCAGTGGGAAGTCTAATTCACCCTCTCCCTGTCCCCTCCCCCAGCTCATGCCCTCTCATTAATAGATAAATAAAATCTGAGGGAAAAAAAAAAAAAAGAATACCAGTTACTGTATTTAGGGCCTACCCTATACCCAGGATTATCTCATCTTGAGATCTTTAATTATATCTGGAAAGACCCTATTTCTTTCTTTTTTTTTTTTTTAAGATTTTTACATTTACATGTATACATTTACATTAGATTATTTATTTGACAGATGGAGATCACAAGTAGGTAGAGAAGCAGTCAGAGAGAGGAGGAAGCCGGCTTCCTGTTGAGCAGAGGGCCCAATGCACGACTCCATCCCAGGACCCTGGATCATGACCTGAGCCGAAGACAGAGGCTTTAACCCACTGAGCCACCCAGGCGTCCGTGAAAGACCCTATTTCTAAACAAGGTCACATTCACAAACACCTTTAGGATTCGGACATATTCTTTTGGTGGTAACTAATCAAACAATACAACACATAAGCCATAAAACCCCCAAACAATCTGAATACAAAATGGGCTAAGAATCTGAACAGACATTGCTCCAAAGACACACAAATAGCCAATAAGCACATGAAAAGATGCTCAATATCACTAACAATTAGGGAAGGGCAAATCAAAACCAGAATGAGATACCACCTCATACTCATTCAGATGGCAACTCTAAAAAGCCAAGAAAAGAATAAGTGTTGGTAAAGACGCGGTGAAACTGGAAACTCTTGAGCACTGCTAGTGGGAATGTAAAATGGTGTGGTGGCTGTGGAAAATAGTATGGCAAATCTCTCAGAAACATAAAAAACAGCTATGTGATCCAGGATTTTCACTTCTGGGTATATACCTAAAAGAACTGAAAGTAGGAACATGAAAATATATTTGTATACCCATGTTCATAGCAGCACTGTTTACAACAGCCAAAATGTGGAAGCAACCCAAGCAACTATTAATGGATGAATGGATAAACAAATACGGTATATACAAACTATGGAATATTATTCATCTTTAAAAAGGATATTCTGACACATACTACAACATGGACAAACCTTAAGCACATTATGCTAAGTAAAATAAGCCAGGTACAAAAGGACAAATACGGTGTGATTCTACTTATACGAGGTTACCTAGAGTAGTTATATTCCTAAGAACAGAAAATAGAATGGTGGTGGCCAGGGCCTAGGTGGAGGGGTAATGGGCAGTTATTATTTAGCTTGTACTGAGTTACAGTTTTGCAAGATGAGAAAGTTCTGTGGATGGATGGTGGTGATGGTTGCACAACAATATGAGTGTACTTAATGACAATGATGTACATTAATGTACACTTAAAAATGGTTAATATGATAAATTTTATACGTATTTCAGCACAATTTTTTTTAATGAAGACATACGAACTTCATATTAAGGTAAATGATGAACAGAAGAAAAAGGATGTCACGAAAAGAATCTTATCCTCCATAAAGGAGGATAGCAACTGTGGAAAGTAACTGTGTTTAAATGTATAGATCTAAATTAGTGATTATAGTACTAAACACTTGTCAAAGATAATTATGACTGATTTCATACTAATTAAGGACTACTGCAGTTAAAGAAAAAAGCAAAAAGACAACTCACAGAATGGGAGAAAATGTCTGCAAATCACTTATCTGATAAGCAGCTGGTATCCAGAATATATAAAAAACGCTTACAACTTAACATTAGAAAGACCCAATTTAAAATGGGCACAGGACACACACACAGACTTCTTCAAAAAAGATATACAAATGGCCAATAAAGACGTGAAAAATGCTCAACATCACTGATCATTAGGGAAATGCAAACTGAATGACAATGGGAGACCTCTTTACACCACTAGGATGGCTAGAACCAAAATGACAGACAATAATAAGTATTAGGGAGGATGTAGAAAATTAGGAGCCTTATACATTGGTGGTAGGATAGTAACATGTGCAGCTGCTATGGAAAAGCCACTTAGTACTTTCTTAAAAATTTAAACAGTTACCACATGACCCAGCAATTCCATTCCTAGATATATACCCAAGAGAACTGAAAATATAAGTCTATACAAAATCTCATATATGTTAAAAGCAGTATTATTCATAAAAGCTCAAAAGCCCAAATGACCCAAATACCCATAAACTGATAAATCAAGTGTAGGAGACCCATAAAATGAAATATTATTCAGCCATAAAAAAAACCCCGAAGTATTGTTATCTGCTACAATGTGAATGAGTCCAGAAAATACTGTGCTGAGTGAAAGAAACGAGTCATGAAGGTCCAAATAGTGACTGCACGATTCCATTTATATGAAATGTCCAGGACAGGCAAACCTATAGAGACTCAAAGCAGATTAATAGTTGCCTGGGAGTGAGCAGCTAGGTGGATAGGGAGTGTTTCCCTTTGGGATGACAAAATGTTCCAAAATTAGATTGTTATGATAGTTGTACAAATAACTATGAATATACTAAAAACCACTGAATTCCATACTGGGGTAAGTGAATTGTATAGTATGTGAATCCTATCCTAATTAAGCTTGTAAAAAAAAATAAAAGAATGGAAAAGTACATTCCATGCTAACACTAATCAAAAGAAAGCTAGAGTGGTTGTAATAATATTAAAGTAAATTTCAGGGCACATGGGTGGCTCAGTGGGTTAAGCCTCTGCCTTCGGCTCAGGTCATGATCTCAGAGTCCTGGGATGGAGCCCCACACCGGGCTCTCTGCTCAGCAGGGAGC